CAAGTTTATGAAAAGGAATTTTAATTCACAATTAATGTCACTAAGGGAACACAGAGTATTTCCCTCCAGGTAGGGAGGAGAGCACAGGAAAATGGTTTAAAAAGGAGGATATTCAATTGAGGGATATTATGGAAGGGCAGGAATTGAGAACACTTACGGAGTTGAAAAAGGACAAAAGGGAACTTTTCATTAAGTTAGACGAGTGGAGATATCACCAATTAAAACACTTTGTCAGGAGTCTTCCGAAACCTTTGAGATTGAGAAAGGATTGGAATCTGTTTGAGAGGTTGTTGGAATCACGTGGAGATGGGAAACGGGGCACGGCAAAAGTTTATAAGATTCTCACCGAATTAGACACACACACAAAGCCAATGTACATAGTAAAATGGGAAAGGGATTTGGGAATAGAGATAGATGAAGACAAACATAACACATAAGAACATAAGCATGACAGAGGTGGAGGTAAACTATAAATGTTTAACAAGATGGCACATTGCACCGAACGTTGAATACAAGATGAGTGGTACGTTATAACACATATGGTGGGAGTGCCCAAAGATTCAAGGTTTTTGGGAGACAATGGTTCATTTAATCGGGATAATCTCTGGGATAAAGATAGGATTGGATCCAGAGTTGTGTCTATTACATAGTACAGAACTATCAGTGAACAAATACAAGGATTTGGGTATATGGTACTATCTGAATGCGGCAAAGCGGCTGATACCTAAGTTTTGGCATAGCTCAGAGGTGCCGAGAGAAGAGGATTGGGTAGAAAGAGTGAACCAGATATGTAGGATGAAGAAACTGTATTATAAGAAGACAAGATGGGGTTATATTACAGGACATGGGGAAAATGGGAAGATTTTGTGCCCAAGGTGAAATATATGAAGCAGTAGAGAGGGATATGTGAAAGTCCTCCTTTCTCAGGAAAAGATGTAATGGAGAAATGCAGAGTGGGTGGTTTTATTATTAGGAGGGGGTAGGTTTTGGGGTGGGTGGGGGTATTAGATAGGGGGTGGGGGGTAATGGGAATAAAGATAGAAAGGGATATAAACTGGTGGTTATATATGTTATATGAGAGTAATGAAGAAATATGTATTTTATATGGAAAATGAATAAATATTTAAATTAAAAAAAAAAAAGTATTCTGCTACATTTTTTTGCTAAAAAAATCCCAATAAGTGTATATTGATTGCTTTGTGTGAAAGTTATAGCGTCTACAAACTATGGTATAAATACTGCAATTAACGCCTTTTTTTGCTATACAGCGCTGCGCTAGTGTAACTGACAATTTGCACAGTCATGCAAAATTTGGTACATAAATTAAATTTACGTCCTTTTTTTCACACTAATAGAGCTCTCTTTCGGTGGTATTTGATCACCTGTGCGCTATTTATATTTTGTGCTATAAACAAAAAAAGACCTACATTTTTTTTTTTACAAAAAACTATATTTTCTCATTTCTGTCATAAAAAATATCCAAACAAATTCAAATTTTGTCATAAATTTAGGCCAAACTGTATTCTGTTACATGTTTTTAGTTAAAAAAAATCCCAATAAGTGTATAGTGATTGCTTTGTGTGAAAGTTATAGCATCTATAAACTATGGTATAGATAATGGAATCTACACAACTTTTACTTTCTGACTGCCCGTCACATTTCTTGAGCCCCTTTTCGGAAAGTAGACACCCTAAGCTATCTGCTGAGAGGCATATTGAGTCCATAGAAGATTTATTTTCTCCACAAGTTTTTGGAAAATGGCAAAACTTATTTTTTTCACAGAGTTGTCATTTAAGTTATATATTTCTCACACAAGCCATGGGTATATATGGAATTACACCCCAAAATACATTCTGCTACTTCTACCGAGTATGGGGATACCACATGTGTGAGACCTTTTGGGAGCCTACAAGAGCCTGAAAGCCGATGACCACTTTGAAAGTCTGAAGGTACGTAACTTCCTCATTTCACTTCCACACTACCTATCACAATTTTGGAGGTCCTGAAATGCCAGGATAGCACCAAACCCCCCTCCCCCAAATGGCACCTTTTTGGAAAGTAGACACCCCACGGAATTTAAAGAGGCATGGTGAGTATTTTGCAAATCTCATTTTTTCTCTCAGAAGGTTTTGAAATATGACAATAGAAAAAATATGTTTTTGTTTTCTTTCATTTTCCAAAAACTTGTGGCAACACGAGATCTGCAAAATACTCACCATGCTTCTTATCAAATTCCTTGGGGTGTCTACTTTCCAAAGACGTAAATTCCTGAACACATTGAAAGTACATAACAAGGTTTTTTACTGTGGTGTCCCAGCAGGTCACTTTTAAATGTGAGTGCACTTTGTTTTTTTTTTAATAGATCACTCTATATTTCTATACTACACTATGGCAAGCGTTTCTGTTTACATATGCGGAGGATTTGTGTGGATAAAGAGGAGACAGTACCGTTTGCAGCAGAGTGAGGAGGAAAGTGGAGTCATCTATGCAGTATACCAGGGTTAAAAAGGGAAAGGCGGTATTTGACTTATGAAATTTGAGTCATAAAAGGAGGTGACAGTATATATGTATGTCTCTGGTGGAGGAGCACCTATAGGAATATATGTGGATATACAGGTGAAACTCGAAAAATTTGAATATCGTGCAAAAGTTCATTTATTTCAGTAATGCAACTTAAAAGGTGAAACTAATATATGAGATAGACTCATTACATGCAAAGCAAGATAGTTCAAGCCGTGATTTGTCATAATTGTGATGATTATGGCTTACAGCTCATGAAAACCCCAAATCCACAATCTCAGAAAATTAGAATATTGTGAAAAGGTGCAATATTCTAGGCTCAAAGTGTCCCACTCTAATCAGCTAATTAAGCCATAACACCTGCAAAGGGTTCCTGAGCCTTTAAATGGTCTCTCAGCCTGGTTCAGTAGGAATCACAATCATGGGAAAGACTGTTGACCTGACAGTTGTGCAGAACACCATGATTGACACCCTCCATAAGGAGGGAAAGCCTCAAAAGGTAATTGCAAAAGAAGTTGGATGTTCCCAAAGTGCTGTATCAAAGCACATTAATACAAAAGTTATGTGGAAGGTAAAAGTGTGGAAGAAAAAGGTGCACAAGCAGCAGGGATGACCGCAGTCCGGAGAGGATTGTCAGCAAAAGGCCATTCAAAAGTGTTAGGGACATTCACAAGGAGTGGACTGAGGCTGGAGTCAGTACATCAAGAGCCACCACACACAGATGGATCCTGGACATGGGCTTCATATGTCATATTCCTCTTGTCAAGCCGCTCCTGAACAACAAACAACGTCAGAAACGTCTTACCTGAGCTAAAGAAAAACCGACCTTGTCTGTTGCTCAGTGGTCCAAAGTCCTCTGTCAGGAATGGATTCACCACTGGTGGTGGGACTCACCTGCCATGTGGGCTGCAGTACCAGGGCTGGCCAGCAGGTGCTTTCAGCAGCCAGAAGCTCACTCCTGCAATCAAACCATCACCTGAGGCTGATTGCAGGAGGTGTATTTAACCACTTGAGCCCCAGAGGATCTACCCCCCTTAATGACCAGGCCTTTTTTTGCTGTTTGGCGCTGCACTAATTCAAATGATAATTGCGCGGTCATGCAATGCTGTACCCAAACGAAATGTACGTCCTTTTTTTCACACAAATAGCGCTTTCTTTTGGTGGTATTTGATCACCTGTGCGCTTTTTATTTTTTGCGCAATAAACAAAAAAACCACGAAAATTAAAAAAAAAAAACAATATTTTCTACTTTCAGCTATAAAAAATATATCGTAAACTCAAAGTTAGTCATACATTTAAGCCAAAATGTATTCTGCTACATGAGATTAAGGGGTTAAATGGAATTACTGGTCTACTAGCGGGCAATCTGGCGCTATCTGGGAGGGGCGCTAACACTATCGGAAGTCGCCAGCGACACTGATACAGTGATCAGTAAAAATTGGTTCACTGATCAGTGACACTGGTGACAGGGCAGTGAAGGGGTTAACTGGGGGGGGCGATCAAGGGGTTAAACGGGATTACTGGTGTACTGGCGGGCAAACTGCCGCTATCTGGGAGGGACGCTAACTCTATCGGAAGTCGCCAGCGACACTGATACAGTGATCAGTAAAAATTGGTTCACTGATCAGTGACACTGGTGACAGGGCAGTGAAGGGGTTAACTGGGGGGGGGCGATCAAGGGGTTAAACGGGATTACTGGTGTACTGGCGGGCAGACTGGCGCTATCTGGGAGGGGCGCTAACACTATCGGAAGTTGCCAGCGACACTGATACAGTGATCAGTAAAAATTGGTTCACTGATCAGTGACACTGGTGACAGGGCAGTGAAGGGGTTAACTGGGGGGGGGCGATCAAGGGGTTAAACGGGATTACTGGTGTACTGGCGGGCAAACTGGCGCTATCTGGGAGGGGCGCTAACTCTATCGGAAGTCGCCAGCGACACTGATCAGTAAAAATCGCTTCACTGATCAGTGACACTAGTGTCAGGGCAGTGAAGGGGTTAACTGGGGGGGGGGCGATCAGGGGGTTAAATGTGTCCTAGGTGTGTTCTAACTGTAGTGTAGTGCTTGTGTACTCACTTTTACTGTGTCTTCTTATCTGTCTGGAACGGAATGTGTCCAGGCAGAGAAGAATGACATCATATCCTGCCCTGTGTATATGTCAACACAGGACAGGATAGGACAGGGACCGATCATGTGATTTCAGCCAGAAATCACTGGCTGAAATCTAATGATTGATCCCTCCTGGATCAAATCGTGTCACCCACGGGTCGGCGGGAGCATGCGCGCGCGCGCGCCCCCTGCCGGCGAAAGTGTCGGGAGCGCGGAACCCATTTTAAAAACGTGGTTTTGCGCTCCACTGCCGCCCTGCACACGTATATACACAGTGGCAGGGCGGCAAGCGGTTAAGGAATGGCCAGGCCTGCAGTCAGTGCCTTGGTGTTGTTTCCCATGAGCCCCTGTACCGTGTATCCTGTGTTCCTGTTCCTCTGCCTATCTTCTGTTGCTGACCTCTGCATTGTTGCTGACTATCTCCTGTTTAACCCCTGGCTTGCCTGACCATCCTTCTGCCTAACCCACTGTACCGTGCTGCCCGTGAGTTACTGAACCCGGCTTGTGACCCTGACCATTCTCTGCCTGATCCTCTGTACCACGCTGCCCGTGAGTTACTGAACCCGGCTTGTGACCCTGACCATTCTCTGCCTGCTCCTTTGGTACCTCGCTGCCCGCACGTTGCTGACCTGGTCTGCCTGACTACGCCTTACGCTACCCAGACGATCCATCCATCCCTGCTCACACCTTCTGCCTCTTCACATCAGTATATACCTCTGGCGGATCCCTCTACCATGACCAGGTGTACTCAGGGGCCGCGACCTGGTTCCTGTCTGCTCCAAGTCCATCCCCACCATCAGGGGCCCTGGTGAATAAGCAGACTGGGACTTATACTCCACGCCCTGGGGAATCCTGTCCTGAGGACTGCTACAGGTACCACCAGACGGTCGTTAACAGAACCATATGGCCGGCCTGACCATTCCACCTCTACAGTCCTGACTACGCCTGTGTTCCTGCACATACTAAGATTAATGGAAGGTTGGTTTGTTTACTGTGCGTTGTATATTTGGGTGGCTAATAATAAATTGTATTTTTATTATATCATTCCTGAAGCCTGTTACTTCCCTGTGTCAGTCCACACATTTCTGGTCATACCCGGATCCTTGACATCCTTTCTTCTGGACGAGAGAAACTTTTGCATCTCATTTGGAAACCAAGGACCCAGAGTATGGAGGAAGAATGGAGAGGCACACACTGCAAGATGCTTGAAGTCCAGTGTGAAGTTTCCACAGTCTGTGTTGATTTGGGGAGCCATGTCATCTGCTGGTGATGGTCAACTGTGCTTCATTAAGTCCAGGGTCAACGCAGACGTCTACCAGGAGATTTTGGAGCACTTCATGCTTCCTTCCACAGACGAGCTTTATAGGGATGCGGACTTCATTTTCCAGCAGACTTGGCACCTACCCACACTGCCAAAAGCACCAAAACCTGGTTCAATGACTGTGGGATTATTGTGCTTGATTGGCCAGCAAACTCGCCTAACCTGAACCCCATAGGGAATCTATGGGGCATTGTCAAGAGAAAGATGAGAAACATGAGACCGAACAATGCAGAAGAGCTGAAGGCCGCTATTAAAGCATCCTGGTCTTCCATAACACCTCAGCAGTGCCACAGGCTGATAGCTTCCATGCCACGCTGCATTGAGGCAGTAATTGCTGCAAAAGGGACCCAAACCAAGTACTGAATACATATGCATGCTTCTACTTTTCAGAGGTCCGATATTGTTCTATGTACAATCCTTGCTTTATTGATTGCATGTAATATTCTAATTTTCTGAGATTGTGGATTTGGGGTTTTCATGAGCTGTAAGCCATAATCATCACAATCATGACAAATCACAGCTTGAATTATCTTGCTTTCCATGTAATGAGTCTATCTCATATATTAGTTTCACCTTTTAAGTTGCATTACTGAAATAAATGAATTTTGCACGATATTCAAATTTTTCGAGTTTCACCTGTAAGCAATAAAGAGCACCTGTTTTGTGAACAGATTATAAAGCCACGGATCAAGCACACATTATGGACTTTTAAGCTGTATTCAATGTATTCACCGTTGATGCATATTCACATGGTTTAGATTCTTTAATTCATATATGAGGTTATAGATACATGGCACTGTGTGGCACTATTTTATGACATATCCTTTGTGTAAATTAATTGGTTTACGTGAAAGTTATAGCGTTTACAAATGGTGGTATAGCTACTGGAGAAAAAAATGTTATACTAATAATGGCGGTGATCAGCGACTTAAAGCGGGACTGCGGCAGGCATTCTGACACCGGGGGGAACTGACTTGGTGTCACTGACATCCCCAGGGACACCAATACAGTGATCAGTGAAAATAAAAAAGCACTGACACTGTACTAATGGCACTGGGGAGAAAGGGGTTAACATTTGGGTGCAATCAAAGGGTTAACTGTGTGTAGGGAGTGTTTCTGAAGTCCAATCCGTGTTTAGATCGTGCTTCTGACAGGCGGCGAATGAAGCAATCTGACATCCACCGTTTTAAAGCTCCTGTTTTGCAGTGCTTTTCGCAGTTCGTTTTGTGTTTTTCTTCTGAGATTTGTTCAGCCCCTTTTTTTTTCCAAGAGGAAATTTTTTTGCTGGGCAGAATAAAAATGCAAAATGCAAACACGTGGCAAAAACGCACTACCATGCATATCAGCAGATTCTCCATTGAACTCTATAGTAGCAAAAATGCTGCTTTTTGCTTTTAAAAAAGTCCCTGACCCTTCCCAAAAATGCAGCAGCTCAAAAAAGCATAGATGTGAACATGTTTCGTAGGAAATCATGTTAATGGACTGTAGTGCGTTTCTTTAAAAAGCACTAAAAAAAGCATAGGTGTGAACCAGGGTAGATAAAAATCTATGATTTAAAAAAGAAAAAAAAAATAATAATAATTGGATTGTTTGTTATTTAACCACTTCAAGTCCGGACACTTTTACCCCCTTCCTGTCCAGGCCAATTTTCAGCTTTCAGTGCTATCACACTTTGAATGACAATTGCGCGGTCATGCAACACTGTGCCCATATGAATTTGTTAGCATTTTTTTGAGGCAAATAAAGCTTTATTTTGGTGGTATTTATTCACCACTGGGATTTTTATTTTTTTTGGTATGTAAATGAAAATGTCCAAAAATTTTTAAAAAAAAAATTCTTATAAAATTTTGCAAATAAATAATATTTCATCATGAATCTTGGCCAAAATTTATTCCGTTACCTTTTTAGTAAAAAAAAAATTAAAAAAATAAAAATGTAAAAAAAGTTTAAAAATTATGATTTGTTTTTTGGGGTTTTTTTTTTACATACTATCACCCTAGCAGTACAGTGTCACCATGATGTACTGTACTACTTGTGGGGGGTGATTTTGTTTTTGTACACCGATTGCTTTTACACCCATGTAAAAGCAATAATTTCTCCTTCTCTCTGGCTGCATTCTTGCAGCCATTGAGAACTACTGTGTGAGCTGTGATTGGTCACAGCTTGTCACATGGTACAAGGCTGTTGTGAATAGCCTTGTACCATGTGAGCTCTGTGATCATTCACAGATTTCACCAGTAGTAAGCAATGATGTCAGAAGTGACATCTTGCTTACTACTCTGCATGTGATCACTGATTGGCCAATCAGTGCTCACATGATCAGAACCTCGCACAGAGGTCCTGTACGACGATCGGTGTTCCACTGTGTCCGGAGGACACAGCGGGCACTGGATCGCGGTGCTGCATGCTCCCAGGGAGTGCGCACAAGCAGGGGGCGGGGAGGCCGTTTATAAACAGCCACCCGACCCTGCACTGCCACCGTCCGGCCGTTTATATACAACGGCCAGACGGGAGGTGGTTAAATCAGATTTTTTTTTATTTTTATCAAATTTATTTTAATAAAATGCTTTTGAAGTAAAAATCTATCTAAATATAGATTTCTATTTAAGATACATTAATAATTGAGTTCATTATTATTATATGAAATGGAGCTTAGTTATATGAGGCTGTACAGGTGAAACTCAAAAAATTAGAATATCGTGCAAAAGTTCATTTATTTCAGTAATGCAACCTAAAAGGTGAAACTAACGTATGAGATAGACTCATTACATGGAAAGCAAGATAGTTCAAGCCGTGATTTGTCATAATTGTGATGATTATGGCTTACAGCTCATGAAAACCCCAAATCCACAATCTCAGAAAATTAGATTACATGCAATCAATAAAACAAGGATTGTACATAGAACAATATCGGACCTCTGAAATGCATATGTACTCAGTACTTGGTTTGGGCCCCTTTTGCAGCAATTACTGCCTCAATGCGGCGTGGCGTGGAAGCTATCAGCCTGTGGCACTGCAGAGGTGTTATGGAAGACCAGGATGCTTCAATAGCGGCCTTCAGCTATTCTGCATTGTTTGGTCTCATGTCTCTCATCTTTCTCTTGGCAATGCCCCATAGATTCTCTATGGAGTTCAGGTCAGGCGAGTTTGCTGGCCAATCAAGCACTGTAATCCCACAGTCATTGAACCAGGTTTTGGTGCTTTTAGCAGTGTGGGCAGGTGCCAAGTCCTGCTGAAAATGAAGTCAGCATCCCCATAAAGCTCGTCTGCGGAAGGAAGCATGAAGTGCTCCAAAATCTCCTGGTAGATGGCTGAGTTGACCCTGGACTTAATGAAGCACAGTTGACCAACACCAGCAGATGACATGGCTCCCCAAATCAACACAGACTGCGGAAACTTCACACTGGACTTCAAGCATCTTGCAGTGTGTGCCTCTCCATTCTTCCTCCATACTCTGGGTCCTTGGTTTCCCAATAAGATGCAAAAGTTGCTCTCATCAGAAAAAAGGACTTTGGACCACTGAGCAACAGACCAGGTCTGTTTTTCTTTAGCCTAGGTAAGACGCTTCTGATGTTTTGTTGTTCAGGAGCGGATTGACAAGAGGAATAAGACATTTGAAGCAAATGTCCAGGATCCGTCTGTGTGTGGTGGCTCTTGATGCACTGACTCCAGCCTCAATCCACTCCTTGTGAAAGTCCCTAACACTTTTGAATGGCCTTTTCCTAACAATCCACAATCTTCTCCAGGCTGCGGTCATCCCTGCTGATTGTGCACCTTTTTCTTCTACACTTTTCCCTTCCACATAACTTTCTATTAATGTGCTTTGATACAGCACTTTGGGAACATCCAACTTATTTTGCAATTACCTTTTGAGGCTTTCCCTCCTTATGGAGGGTGTCAATCATGGTTTTCTGCACAACTGTCAGGTCAGCAGTCTTTCCCATGATTGTGATTCCTACTGAACCAGACTGAGAGATCATTTAAAGACTCAGGAACCCTTTGCAGGTGTTAAGGCCTAATTAGATGATTAGAGTGGGACACTTTGAGCCTAGAATATTGCACCTTTTCACAATATTCTAATTTTCTGAGATTGTGGATTTGGGGTTTTCATGAGCTGTAAACCATAATCATCACAATTATGACAAATCACAGCGTGAACTATCTTGCTTAGCATGTAAAGAGTCTATCTAATATATTAGTTTCACCTTTTAAGTTGCATTACTGAAATAAATGAACTTTTGCACAATATTCTAATTTTTTGAGTTTCACCTGTATATTCTGCAATATTTAAATTTCTGGTAAACTCATTCAATGAATCCAAG